CTCTCCTTGAGTGAATACGGTTCTCACGGCGTTTCCTGGTTCAGTTCGGAGCAACGTTCTCGCCGAGTACTCGAACTTCGACGTCGACGAATATAGCACACACGTATACACAAAGCTACAGACACAGAGACACGCGTAGAAGGCACGAAGCATAAAAAAGCAAATAGTAGGGGAGGGTGGGGTAACGAGATGATATGGTTAATACTCGTATTGTACACGTGCGCGTTTTTGTAAATAAACCGGAATATGGTGTAGAGACGAAAGGAGCAACGGAAGTACGAGAGAAAGGTATATAAATATATAAATAAATAAATGAATGAATGAATAAATATATATATATATATATACCATTTTGAAAATTCGCTTGAACCACGGACACACTCACTATTTGCAAATTGGGGTTATTACACGAAAGCGCTACTATCGTAGGAGCTGTCTTTATTATTATTAATTATTATTATTAATTTTTAACTATTATTATTATTAATTATTATTATGATATTTTACTGTAAGCAACATGAAGAAGTTTACGATATAAGTAGATAGGAAGCCCAGCTTGCCGGGTGACGTGATGGCGCATCGACGATTTTGCATGCTCTATTTTATCGAATATTAAGAAATCCTACAGGGTGTCTTACGTTTCATCGGGCAGGGTTGAAGAACGATTCATTCATTAAAAAGACGCTCGACCGTTCGTTCTGGTTGAAATCAATTCCAAACGTGTATTTTCCTTTTCGTCGAAGCTCGACTTTCATCCCGAAGTTTTTAATTTATTTTTTTCACCGACGAATGAGCCGATTCTTCGTCTCTGCGCCGCGAATTTCGGGACACCCTGTGCGACGCGTATCTTCTTATCTAACTCTATGACTTGCATATTGACTACGCGAAATCGCTCTGCGGTGCAGAAGAGGTTCTAAAAGCCGACAGTCTTGTAAAGGGACGTTTCGTTCACACGTTTGTGGATAATAAAACATGGAAATAAGAAAAGGAAGCTAGATGTTAATACGAAAAGGTGTTCTAGCAAGTACATACGTCAGGCGGCAAGCTGATCAGAGGAGGGCGTGCGTACGTTGATGTAGAACGTTGAATATTACCGGAGAAAACAGATTTTCGTAGAGTTTCGTGCACCGCATTGTCGACAGAAGAATTTCGAAACGGAAAATATAAAAGGATCATTGCCGAACCAGCGAAGATCGTTTCCGAGGTTCCTTTTGTCGGTAACGTGCGTCGAATTCGCGAAAACACCTCTATATGCGATTATGCGAGACGATGAGGGCGGGGGAGGGAGTAAGGACCTTTACGATTCATTACGCTGTTTGCGTGCACGCAGGGGTGCCTAGCTCTCGAACGAGTCCGAGAATAAGCGTTTTAATGTACTACACTTCGCCTGTTACCCTAAGTCATGTGCCTATACGTGAATGTCGGCGGACATTTTACACGGGAGAGTCGTTAGTCCTCCGCAAAATGGCGTCCGAGAGGCCTCGCGCGCTCGCTGTAGTCGTCGATCGACGTTTCTGGTTGCAGTCGGTTCCACGCGGTATCTTAATCATTGAAAACGATTTATACTATTAACTCGGTCAAATATAAATACTAATATAAATAGTAGATATATTTAACAATATTAATATTAACCATATCGAAGCTAAGAGGTAGCTTCTCGAATCCAATTGCAAAGATATCGTTCGGACTGTTCGCTTTCAATACTTCGTTGGTATCTAAAGTATCCACTTTACTTTTTTTATATTCTTCAAGAAGTCAAAGAGACGAAGCAAAACTTTGTCATCGAATGTATGTATAGATCGAACTAGAAAATTCTTTGTTTAATTTCGTACGATCGACCACTGTCAAGTTACTACGAGCGCCCGGGGACTTGAAACAGCGCACACGTTGCGAAAATTCGTGCAATTTTCCCGACAACTATCTCGTCGCTTCGTTTGCAAAAGAGGTTTCCGAACGTGCTCCATGATCTTGCGTATACGCGACCCTCTGCGAGACACGAACGAAAAAGGAAAAAGATAAAGGGGGTGAAGGAGAGAGAGAGAGAGAGAGAGTGAGTGAGAGAGAGAAAGAGTTAACATGCACGCCGAGAAGATATTAGAAGGGACGGTTCTCATCCGCGATTCTCGTTTCCTTATCGTCCGCTTTTTTGTACACACACTATCAGAACCAATAAACTGCAATATTTATCTTTGATTTGCAGTGTTCTAACTACGCTGACCGAGGTCTCTGAAAGATAAAGAGAAAACTTTCGCTTCCACGGTGATTTACCGTGGTTTCTTTAAACACTTTTATTTTTCTCGAACGGTTTCTCTTCTTTTGTACACATTTTTTCGTTCTCCATCGTCGAGACGCGTTTATTCTCGCTTTTCTTTTCGTTTCTTTTTCTTTTCATATATATATATATATATGTATGTATACAAATACTAAATGGTTTTTACTCATGACGACCGATCGCGAAGCAGTTCCCAGACCGTGACACAGACACACACACGCACACGTACACACTGTTAGATCATGGTGCACCGTTGTCGTTCACACTGTGCAATGCGAACCAATGTATGTTTCTGTTGTATAGAGCACGTTGCTTCCGCTAGTCCCTGAAGTTAAATAAACGCAAACCTACACGAAAACCCTGCGTTCACGCGT